ACTTTCAGAAACGGGGGGGGGGGAGCTAATCCAAACACTTTCAGAAAGGGGGGGGGGGGAGCTAATCCAACAGACTAAAGGACGCAAGATCTGCCTTGGCCACGGCTATCTTTCCTGCATGGTCCTCCCTGGCCTTGTCCTCAGCCTCTTGTCGCACTCGGCCCTCGAAGCTTGACCTAGCGACAGTATCCTCCTCGCGTAGTGTGAAGAGGTTCCGAGTTTTCTCTTCAACGATCTTGTTGACCTTTGCCCTCTCGGATTGAAGCTTCCTCAGAGACGACTCCGCCTCCCCCAACTTGGTCTTCAGGCGGGCTACAGTGGAAGTAGCGTCGCCTATCCTTTCTCCCAGTAAGTGTTGTTGATCCACCCAGGAGGCGAGGTTAGACTCCAGATCTGCTATTTCCTTAGAGCGAACCTCCTGATCCCAGGCCTCTTGACGCCTGACACGAACCAGGAAAGATTCCATATCAACTTCCGGGCCTTCTCGTAACAATGTCTCTAGCCTCATCATGCGTGACTCCAAAAGACGGAGCTTCTGCATGCAACGCGTGGCAATCCGATTTTCGCCCGATTACCGAAGGTCGATCACGCGGTCCAGGAGAGATTGCCTAAAGCCGTCGAAACTGCCCATGCCTAGACTGACGAGGGAAATCACTTGCTTCACCGCATTCTCGAACTCTTCAAGGCGAGCCTGTAAAGACGAGGAATCGAAAGAAATAGGCTCTTGACCCGGAGCGAGCGCCGCGATGGGTGGAATCTCGAGGCAGGGTTCGGCATCAGGTGTCGGAATGGGCTTCGGTTCAGAGGAAGTCGCCGCACCCTCAGACTCGTCGTCAGAAATCAGAATGGGTTCGGCCGCTTGCTCTTCGGCAGTCGGCACCTCTTCTTAGGCTGTGAAATACAATAACAGCACGGCAAGAGGGGTCAAACGAGAAATACGTACCTAATTCATGCCTACGCAGGAATTAAAAAAGAAAATTCAGACGAGGAATACCTTCGGCGGCAGCAGCCTCAGCAGCACCCGAAGAAGACGTCTCCTTCCTCTTCTTCGAGGTAACCTTTTTCACCTTCAGAGCCATTTTGAGCGCAACGAGAAGGAAACTGGAACTTCACCTGAAGAACACAAAAAAAAAAGAACAAAAAGAGAGAGAAACTGCAATCTCTCTTAATGAGGGGGAGAGGTTTTAAATGCTCCAACCCAAGGCGGTTATCCACAGCTTGATGGGACCCTTCAAGGCTAAACAGTCGAAAGTAAGGCCGAACGACCTGGAGTTTGTGTGAACGGCCAAGATCTGGCAGTTTCTGCACACGATCTTCGACTAACGGCCCAAGTCGGACGTAAAAAACGAAGAGGCCCACTACGCCGTATTTAATACGAAACGACTAGCCCACGTCTCCTTAACCGACGTGCGCGTGGGTTGACACGTGGCCCGCTGAAAGCAGAGCCCACTTAGAACCAGATTCGCCGTTTAGACTCATGCAAATCCGCCCGCGGGTAAAATTCGCCTGCAGATGAAATAAACTTGCAATAGAGAATCGCCAAGCACCCTCATGCGAAGTGACAATGGCCAAAAACAAAAAGATAATTTCATTCATAGAGAGAAATCCTAGTACAACTGGGAATCAAAGACAAAAGGGGCAAATTACAAGGCTTTCAATCGCAGTTCCGCCTCACGAATCTCCCCAGCATGACAAAGCTCTAGCCTCCTCAGGATCTCTCGGCGAAGATCTTCCTCAGTGCGCGAGACTAAGTCTTGGACGGTCTCTTTGATCTCCCTGAGGGCTCGATCCTTTTCCTCAACGGAATCAGCCGCCAACTGCTGGCGGGATCCAATGCCCTCCAATTCCTTGACCGCCTGTTCATGAGCCTTCTCTTGGATAGCCAATGAGGCCTGTGCTTTAGCTATAACTTGCTTCAGATTCTCTACCTCCGAAGACAAGCAAAAAATGAGGTTATCGGCCTTCTGTTGCTCGAGGGCCACTCGTTCATTCTCAGCCTTGGCCTGCTCCAACTCTGCTGACAACCTTGTCTCCAGTGACATGGTCACGTTCAGACGGCGATCACGTTCTTCCACTGCTGCTCGGACTTCGTTGGAGGCAAGATCAACAAGTGTGGAACTCTTCGCACGAAGGGCAAGTAACTGTTGAACAGCTGATGATGCCAATAAATGGCAAATTCCTGAAGAGGTACTATCCTTAGCACCTTTCAGAAGGAGCTGATGTATCGGGAAGTTCCCGGAAGAATACCACATTGGGGTATTCTTAGGGATAACCTGGTCGGTATAAGAGAGATGAACAAGAAGTCCACATTCGAACCCCGAATGTTCTAGTTTGTCAGACTCTAACCCTCATCAGATGAGATCCAATCATTCGAGGGATTAATTTTCCCTCACAAAACTTTCATTGGTGTTCGATTACTCATAGTCTTCGCCACACATTCCCACTTGGTCAAACCTTACGACAGTTAGGACCAAAGCCAAAGTCCCCTCTCGATTCCTTCAACGAACGAGAGGTCCACAAATCGGGCGGTCAAACTTTCACGTAGTTGTGATCGTTCCAAATTTCTCACTTGGTCAAACCTTACGACAGTTAGGACCAAAGCCAAAGTCCCCTCTCGATTCCTTCAACGAACGAGAGGTCCACAAATCGGGCGGTCAAACTTTCACGTAGTTGTGATCGTTCCAAATTTCCCACTTGGTCAAACCTTACGACAGTTAGGACCAAAGCCAAAGTCCCCTCTCGATTCCTTCAACGAACGAGAGGTCCACAAATCGGGCGGTCAAACTTTCACGTAGTTGTGATCGTTCCAAATTTCCCACTTGGTCAAACCTTACGACAGTTAGGACCAAAGCCAAAGTCCCCTCTCGATTCCTTCAACGAACGAGAGGTCCACAAATCGGGCGGTCAAACTTTCACGTAGTTGTGATCGTTCCAAATTTCCCACTTGGTCAAACCTTACGACAGTTAGGACCAAAGCCAAAGTCCCCTCTCGATTCCTTCAACGAACGAGAGGTCCACAAATCGGGCGGTCAAACTTTCACGTAGTTGTGATCGTTCCAAATTTCCCACTTGGTCAAACCTTACGACAGTTAGGACCAAAGCCAAAGTCCCCTCTCGATTCCTTCAACGAACGAGAGGTCCACAAATCGGGCGGTCAAACTTTCACGTAGTTGTGATCGTTCCAAATTTCCCACTTGGTCAAACCTTACGACAGTTAGGACCAAAGCCAAAGTCCCCTCTCGATTCCTTCAATGAACGAGAGGTCCACTTTCAAACTCCCGAATGACCAAACCTTACGACAGTTAGGGTCATCTCGAACCCTCGCTTAGTCACAACTTACCCTGGTCGAGACTAAGACCGAGTCATCTTTTGTTCAAATGACCAAACCTTACGACAGTTAGGGTCGTTTGAACTTTCCGATTCTCGGAGTGGAGATCCCACTTCTAGTTTCATCCTGCGGATTCTGGAGGTGGAGATCCCACCTCGAGTTTCCCTCTTTTGCTGGAGATAGAATATAAAATTCTTCCTCTCCAGTTCTGAAGATAGAATATAAAATTCTTCCTCTTCAGAGTCAAATGACCAAACCTTACGACAGTTAGGGTCGTTTGAGCCTTTCGGATTCTGGGGGTGTGCCACCTCGAGTTTCCTTTCCAGCTGAAGATAGAATATAAAATTCTTCCTCTTTAGCACCGGGAGATAGAATATAAAATTCTTCCTCTCCTCGGACCTTTCCGATGCTCGGAGTGGCGACCCCACTCCCAGTTCATCATTCCGGGTGCTCGGAGTGGAGATCCCATTCCCAGTTCATCCTTCCAGATACTGGGGGTGGAGAATCCCACCTCGAGTTTCTTTTCCAGCTGAAGATAGAATATAAAATTCTTCCTCTTTAGCACCGGGAGATAGAATATAAAATTCTTCCTCTCCTCGGACCTTTCCGATGCTCGGAGTGGCGACCCCACTCCCAGTTCATCATTCCGGGTGCTCGGAGTGGAGATCCCATTCCCAGTTCATCCTTCCAGATACTGGGGGTGGGGAATCCCCCTTCTAGTTTCCTTTCCACCGGGAGATAGAATATAAAATTCTTCCTCTCCTCGGACCTTTCCGATGCTCGGAGTGGAGATCCCACTCCCAGTTCATCCTTCCGGATACTGGGGGTGGGGAATCCCACCTCTAGTTTCCTTTCCACCGGGAGATAGAATATAAAATTCTTCCTCTCCTCGGACCTTTCCGATGCTCGGAGTGGCGACCCCACTCCCAGTTCATCATTCCGGGTGCTCGGAGTGGAGATCCCATTCCCAGTTCATCCTTCCAGATACTGGGGGTGGGGAATCCCACCTCAAGTTTCCTTTCCAGCGGGAGATAGAATATAAAATTCTTCCTCTCCTATTTTGACACAACTTTCAACTTCCAATCCGCGCACTTGGTGCGTGGGGAATTTTATCCCGAATCCTAAGTAGGGATAAGTCAACACCTAACACGTGTTGCCGGGTAGCCTATTCCCGTAACAAGGGCAAAGTCTACGTATTCGAAGTCGTAGCAGCAAGTCTAAGGGAGTTCATTCCTTTAGCACAACGTTACATACGGAACGGATTTCGATAATCCGCATGCTAGCCCGATTCAAACGGTGATCGGTAAAGGCACATCAAACCCGTTGAAGGCTGGGGGTTTGCCAAAAACCCCAAAGTCAACGCCTAACACGCGTTGCCGGGTAGTCTATTCCCGTGAGAAAGACGAAGCCTATGTATTCAAGATCATAGCACAAAGCCTCAGAGAGTTTACTCTCTCAGCACAACGTTACATGCGGAACGGATTTCGACAATCCGCATGCTAGCCCGATTCAAACGGTAATCGGTAAAGGCACCTCAAACCCGTTGATGGCTGGGGGTTTGCCAAAAATCCCATAAATCTGTCATTCGGAAGAGATACAGAGAAAACACAAAAGAAGCAAATGCGGATTTTCTATTAATAAATCAAGTCAAAAGCATATGACAACAAGTCCGTCAACCCGAAGGCAACCGACGGCTAAGAATATGAGACTCTAAACCGGAGAGCCTGTCCATATAGTCCTGCTCGAACTCCGCCTGCAGGCTAGCTCGGACAGAATCTTCGGAACTGTTGAGAACCTCTGCGGCTTCGTGTCGCAGCTTCATCAACCCCTCCTGCGCTGATCCCAGCCTGTCGAGTGTCCATTCACGAGAACGCTCCAACCCAACCAGTTCCTCAGAAATGGTAGCGGCAGATTCTTCGGCGCGTTCCAAGGCCTCCTTCAGTCTAGCTATCTCTGCACGAGTGGAATCTAAGGAGCTCACTAACTCAGCTCTGCTGGTGTCTTTCCTCGCCAGAGAGGCCATCAGCTGCTCGACAGTGCGCTCACGTGATCGAAGCTCGCTGCCAACGGAAGATCGCAGTTCATGCCACTGCGTCAACCTATCCTCCACCTGAGAAGATGCAAAAGAGGGAGCTCCACCAGCCTTCAACTCCCTCAGCTCTCGAATCTCTGACTCCAGGGCAGCGAAATCAGCTGTAAAGGAATCGGCCAAATCCGGATATCCCTCTTCCCTCATCATCATCATGTGACGGGAGAAGGAACGCCTGAACTGATCAAAAGAAGACCCTCTGTGCAGAAGCTTATCAATCACGCCGTTATAAAAGGCAGTAAAGAAGCCGAGGTCAGTGCGGAAGACATCCCCATCTGGATTGGTATCGGCCAAGAGAGCATGGACCTGCTCATATAGAGACGGTCGAGAACCTGCAAGCAGCAGTATGGGAGGTCAAGAAACTATTAAATACAATCGAAAAGACCCTAAGGGAAATTCGAGGTATACCTATACCGGCGGAAATCCCCTCGGGTTGGGGTTCGACAGGCTCCGAAGTAACGACAGGAATGCTCATGGAAGGTATATCAACCCTCGTGGGCAAGTCAGTCGTATTAGGCGAAGGCGGGAAAACACCCGAAGCTATAGCAGAATCAGGTACAGCGCCTGGTCATATAGTTGCACTTCTTTATTAGTCAAAATGGAGACTGAGACAAGCAAAGAAGAGAGGAAATTGGATATATACCTGTGGATGAATCACTCTCAAAGAGTGGTCTCACAGTCCCGGTGGGAGCTTGTTCAGCTAACATATCGGCTAACAGTCCAGAGTCAGGTCTCGGGAAGACCGGTGCAGGAACATATCCCTGCTCTTCGAAATCTGCAATAGGGGAGGCCCCATCCCCGTCTGGCCCTTCTGTCGCAACACCTGCAGCACCGGATGTAGGTATATCTGAAAATGAACCGGTGGGATCAACACCATCTGCCTGCCCAAGATCGATGTTCAGATCAATGCCCAGGGAGCCATCACGAAGGGCGTCGCACACCTGCTGCATGAAGCAGTCCATGTTGTCAGCCCCAGAGAATACCGGACCTGGCGGAAGCTCACCCTCCTCGAAGAACCCTGAATTATGAAACAGGATCAGGGATCCCGGAAGGTAAATCATCTTAAAGCAATAAAAGTGGGTACAACAAAATGTTACCTTCCTCCCCGTCGGCAAAGCCTCCTGAATCTACCCCATGGGAGCGCTGATCAACATGAGGTTTATGGGCAATCTTTTTCCTTTTCGAAGGATCACCCCTCATAGAACCAACGGGGCGGTCATGCGAAGTTTGGCCACCAAACTTGGATTTCGCACGACGGGAAGCGAGCGACCCATGGTCGTCAGCTACCCCACCTGAAACAACAAGAATCATCTCATGAACCAGATCTTTCGCCAATACCAATTGAAGTCGAGAAAGAGGATCAAAGAGCATGACAAACCTGTATCAAGTTCTGCTTGGTCGGTATCTATATCTGCATACTCCCCTTCGGGAATTCCGGTGGGCTTCTTCCTCTGTCTCTGAGCAGGCTCAGCCCTGCGAGCAGCCATCATAGCAGATTGAACCAAGTGATCGGATTCTAGTTCCGAAAGACTCCTCACACTTATGGATTCATCGGCAGAGAGGAACCATTTACAGCTGAGGAAGGTAATCATTGGATTGCGTTTATAGGAGGGAAGAGCAAACTGAGCCCCGGTGCAGCCAACCATGGTCCATAACCACGCCCGTACGCCGTCAACGAGTCCTCCCTCAACACGCAAACTACGACTCGGATTCCCAACGTATAGTTGGTCATAGCCAAACTGACGTGCGAAACGGCAGGGAAGGTAAGGCTCTATGTGGCAGCGGTCCTTCACCCGGAGAACAAGATACCCGACTCGGATGTTCACCAACCAGCGGAAACAACCGACGTCGAGAGCAGTCCGGTTAGTTCGGGGTTTCTCCATATCAGTCAACTCCTCGCCATAACGTCCCGAAAAGCGAGGGAAGCATTTGAAGAACTCCCAGTTCCTGCGAACTCGAAGTTCTTTTTGTACATCTTCAAATTTCTTCCCAACCCATCTACTCTCCTCCAACAGCTGTAGGAAAGGAACGGGAACATCAACGGCGCTGGGCGCCGACATCAAGTCCGGACGGTGAAGAACGAACCACGCCATCAAATAAGCGTAGGGCAGCTCAACCTTCGGGCAGGTAAGCTCAGTCGAGGGTTTAGAACCCACTTGGGTAAGAACACGAACTACACCCCTAAGCCCGCAATGGATGCTGGCAACCATCGCTGGAAGCAGAGAAAGCTCCCTCCCATAAGCTAGCTGGACCGCAGGGAAGAGCACCTCGAGGGGTAGAGCGTCTGAAGACTGATATGGAACAACACACTTCTTCAGCCAAAGAGCAAGGTAGCCAGCTAACAGAGACCGAGGATCGATAGACTTCTGGGCATGATAGAGGAACGATCGAAACTTAGTCCCGGCCGGAAAAGCCCCCTCGGCACTAGCAATGGTATAAGAATGAGTTTCATTCTTCTCCATCAGCTCATTAATAGCGGCAGGGGTCAAAACGCCTAACTCATGTATGGACTCCTCGGAATCATCCTCCAAGTTAGGAAACAGGTAAACAGCAAACTGCTTCAAGCTGATCTTCCTCTTCGTCTTCGCTGGAGGAGAACTCTGGAGCAAACAGGTGTGATAATGACAGGTGAGGTCCCAGAGAGTGTCATACACATCGGGAGTATCCTTCTTCAAACACTCCAACTGTTGGTTAGAAGGGAAGTATTCCTGATACGGGCAATCTCCCATCGAAAGCCCGGAAACCTGGTGCATCTCATGAAGAGCCAACCCTAGCTCTCCGCCACTGGTCAAGAAGGTATTACTATCAGGCATATATGTCTCGAGCAATGCCAAGAAGTGACGGCAGCTAACGGGAAGTCCATACATAGTAGCCCGTATGGGCGTATATAATCCACTACCCTTCAAGTCTCTCTCCCAGCGTCCCAGAACATAACTGGTCAAACGGGTCCACCATCCCTTAGCCAGTGAGGAAGCCCAACCATAACATCGGTAATCCAGTCGAGGTAATTGTCTTCCCAGATGAGCTAAACGATTCCTCACGGTGAGAGCGGCCGCCGATACCTCGCCTGGAGGTGCAGTGTCAAGACCCATGATCCCGGGTCGAAGGCCACAAATGGATTGATACCCCAGAGAACCGGGACTCTTGTGATGAGAAATGTATCCGCACTGAACGTGTGTAACAGCATTGGTAAGAGGCCAGGACATCTGTCGCCCCACAGCCTGTTTCTCCAAGTCAGTAAAAGAGCACTGGCGAGGAATAGAGGGGATATATAAAAGAGCTCCCTCGTCAAGGGTAAGCCAGTGCTCCTCAGCAAGAGTCAGCGCAGCAGGATCTTCGGTGCGATCCCCGAATAGAAAACCCGGTTTCTTTAAAGCTTCAGTAGAAGTGGCGTCTACGGTGAGAGGAGCATCGGTGATAAGTTGGCGTAAACAGTGACGCCCTCCATCCTTTATCAAGCGACAGAACTCGTCTGAGCGATCTCTGTTGAACTGCGGAAGGGGATCGATGATCTGCCTGGCAGAAGCCGAAGAAAACACTTCCCTACTACAACTGGTAGGGGCATGATGAGGGAGACTACCCCCGGGAAACTCAACTGCAACAAAGCAAAGATGGAGTCAGAA